ATTTGCCTAATGCAATATGTTGTTTGATTTCTTGACTTCTGCTTCCATGAATTTTGATAGTTGATCCAAGAAAAATGAAGTCCTTGATAATTTCAATCTTTTCTCCGTTGAAAGGAGCTCTGGTAGTGTAGTGATTATGAATCGGGCTGCAAACCTCAAGGTCAGCAGTTCAAAACTACCAGCTGTTCAGCAGGAGAAAGATGAAGCTTTCTGCTCCTGTAAAGATTTACAGCTTCAGAAACCCTGTACAGGGTTGCTATGAGTTGGAACCAACTCCGCGGCATGTAACCAACCAAGTTCCGATTCATAGAGACCCTTTACATTTGCATTGGAGCAGAAAGCCTCATCTTTCTGGCATGGAGCAAAATAGACCAGATCCATTGCCATCAAATTGATTCCAACTCATGGCGACCCTAGTGCTGCAGAATAGATCTGAGCTCTATAGGGTTTTCTCATCTGCAGTCTTTATGGGGGTAGATCACCAGGCTTTTCTTCTGTGGTACCACCACATGGGTTCAGATTGCTAACTTTTAAGTTAATAGAGAATGCAGACCATTTGCGCCACTCAGGGAGCCTTCAAGGATATCAATAGCAGACAAAAGAACTTAGCATCCACCTGTCCCCAGCTGCAAACAGGCCTAGACAGAAGCTTCAAGTCAATAAAGAAGTAGAGAAAGTATTAGGCCTTTGTGAGCCTTGCTTTCCTTCTGAAAACAATCTCAAAGGATTGGAAGGTTAAATGAGATCATGCATAAGGTGCTTAATGTAATACTTGGCACTTAATAAGTATCTGGCGAATGTTAGCCACCAAATCCTCATCTCCTAGTATTCAACAACCCCATGTGGTGGGTAGGCAAGGGTTATTATTGCTCCCATTCTGCATGTGGGGAAATCTAGGGGCAGTGACTGGTCCACGGGCACAGGGCACAGACGTGAGCGGTCCTGGGACCACCAGGTCCAGTGCTCCTTCCCACTCCCCAGCAGAAGGAGCTGGCCTGGCTCCCCTGCCGTTCCCGCCCCTCACTGCAGGCCCAGATATGCCTGAGGATGCTTATCTCAGTCCCATGTGGCACATCAGCTGTCTGGCTCGTGGCTTAATTAATAGTTCTTTGGACTCGTTCTGGGAAAGTGAAATTGGCAGAGCCTGGGAGACCACCCACATCTGCCGGCTGCTCTGGTTTCTGCAGAGAGTTGAGTGGGAAAAAGAGGGTTGGGGACCAGGGAAAGGCAGTCCAAGGTCTGGGGACAAAGCTGATCTGCTGCCACTCCTGGAAGGAGTTCATCAAGAGTGAGCGGAGCAGAGCATGGCCCTCAGAACAAGACCTGAATACCTACTCATCCCCCTTGCCCCCTCACCCACCACATGCTGGCCTTGTCGCCATTGCGCCATCATACCTGTGAGTCCTGTCTCCGCCTAGGCTGTTCCCTCCACCTGGGGCCTGCCTGGTACTTCGCCTCCTTGGGAGACACACTCTGACCACTACGTTTAAAGGTGCCCCACTAACTCTCTTATCACTCACCCTCAGTCTGATGCTCAGCATGATACTTGCCATTTCCGGAGTTTTCTTGTTAATGTAGTTGCGTGTTTATTGAGTGTCTCCCCTGCAGAAGGGTAAGCTCCACATTGGCAGACACCCAGTCTTGCTCATCATTGTATCCCCAGTCCTGTTGATGTGGTTGGCTAATTATTATTGATGAGTGCATGGATGGATGGATGTGAAGAAAAGAACCCTGGTGTGAAGGTTGGGAAATGGGTAATTGGCTTCATAGCTAGCCTTGGTTTGTGGTGGTTGTCAAATGCTAATGAGTTAGTTCTACTACATGATGACTTTGTGTGGAACACAATGAAATGTGGCCTGTGTCCTTGCACCACCCTCACTCACGATGGGAGGTATGTTTAAGTCTCTTATTGCAGCTGTGTCCTTAGAGAAGCCTCTTCATTGTCCTGGGGGGCCTCATTTCCCAGATAGGTGAAGGCTGACCCCAGTGACTTGCAGTGACTCTTCCATGCCAACAGTCTCAGGTTCTCATTCTCCTGAGCTCAGAGACCTGAGTATAAAGGGGATTAAATAAGATGTGACATATGGAATTGAGGAAGGCAGGCTGGGAGGACAAGGATTGGGCCTGAGGAAGGACCTGGTCCCCCACACTTTGTGACTTCGTAAACCCCCACTGACCCCACACACAAGGATTCCATAAAGACCTCATTGGGCAGATTTCCCTGGTACAGGATCACTAGACCAAGAGTCAGGAAAATGAATTGTAGTCCCAACTCTACCCTCCCTGAGTCACTTCACCTCCCTGGGCCTCAGTTAACTCAACTGTAAAATGGGCACGACAATAGTAGAAACTCTGTCTTAGGAGGGTTTAGTGAAGGTGGAAGTTTTAGATGCTTAAATTGTGGTTGCGCGGCGGGCTTCTCCCCATGAATGGTCACTCAGGTAGTGTCTCCCTTGGGCAAACTTCCTTCCAACTCACTGTCCACTGTGTTTCTCTGATCTTGTCACTTGTCACACTGGGTTGTACGTGTCTGCTTACTTGTCTGCTTTCCCCTCTGATATGTGACCCTCACAATAGTGCCAAGATGAGGTCTACCTCACTATGTTGTTGTTGCTGTTAAGTGCTGTCGAGTCGATTCTGACCCATAGCGACCCTGTATAGGGTTTCCAAGGAGTGACTGGTGAGCTTGAACCACCGACCTTGCAGTCTGGCACATTAACCCACAGCACCACACCAGGACTCCAATATGGACTTGGAAATATGTGTGAGCAAATGCATGAATGAATTAGTTATTGAATGAATATCCTAAGCAGCCAGTCCAAGGAATGCTGGCTGCTGGGCTGGAACTTTGTCTTCCACTTCTATTGTCTCTTCTCTCCAGGCTTAGCACACCCTCATTTCCTCCCTTCCTCCAACCCATCCCTATAACTCTCTGACCTGACCCTCCTTTCTTAACAGTTGCCCCCAAAGGACCCAAAATCATGATGACGCCCAGCAGAGCCCGGGTTGGGGACACAGTGAGGATTCTGGTCCACGGATTTCAGGTCAGCCTTTCTCTGAGCATCTGGGAGGGTGGTGGGAGGTGGCAGGGACCCCAGCCAGACACCAGCAATGCTGGCAGCATTCCCCAAGGAATCTCTAAGCACAACCAGCAGGCCTCAGTTTACAAACCTGTATAATGGAAGAACTGGCAAAGGCAAAGAGGTACATGTGGGTTTCCACCCTTCCTGGAGTTCAGGACTACTGTTAGTTGTTGTTGAGTAGATTCTGACTCATGGTGAATTAAACACGTAGAACTCCTTCTATAGGATTCTTAAGAAGCAGATCGTCAGGCCTGTCTTCTGAGACACCTTTGAGCTCAAACTCCCAACACAGTTGATCCGCCCTAGACTCCCAGACTGGCAGCCTGAGACTCCTCTATTCAGGGCGGTGGGCTGCCACTCCCAGCCCATCTGATGACGTGACTCTCCCCTGCTCTGGCTTGCAGAATGAAGTCTTCCCAGAGCCCATGTTCACGTGGACTCGGGTTGGGAGCCATCTCCTGGACGGCAGTACCGAGTTCGATGGGAAGGAGCTAGTGCTGGAGCGGGTCCCCGCCGAACTCAATGGCTCCATGTACCGCTGCACGGCCCAGAACCCACTGGGCTCCACGGACACACACACTCGGCTCATCGTGTTTGGTATGGGTCAGCATCCCTGGGAGGACCAGCCCCCTCAACTTGTCCTTTGGGAGGCACCATAGCTCATTGAATAAAACTATCAGACTTTTGGAGCCACAGAACTCTGGGCTCAGATTCCACCTTGGGTGAATTGCTTACCCTCCCTTGGCTTCTCCATCTCTAAAGTGGGACCGATACAGCACAGCCCACAGGCAGGTTGATACCCTGACATCGTATAGCAGGTGCCGGACAAAGGTTACCTTCTCAATGATATCCACTCTCTAGTTCTCTTTCTGTTTCTTTCCAACAGAAAACCCAAATATCCCCAGAGGAACGGAGGACTCCAATGGTAGGTCTCCACCACAGGGCTTCTTGCATAAAAGCAAATGGTTTTCATGGTTCTGGGAAGCTTAGTCCCCCAAACAGCCTGCTTGAGTATCCTTGCCTCTCCTCCATGCCTCGAGCAGCCAGTTATCCTCTAGGTAGACAGAGACTGCCCTTTTTAAGAGGATGTGAAGGCTCAGAGATGAATACAGAGGCAAGTACAGTAAGTACACGGGGACTCAGCAACCCATCTCTCAAAGCAGCTGATGACACTTCCAGAGACCAAGTGTGGTCTCTCCGAAAGGGCATGTCTATCTGGCTCGCCCTGGGACCCTGAACCTTCCTTCAGCAGGACCCTTGTGTGGGAGCCTGCGTACTCCCCTCTCTTTCCCACACACTTGATCAGCGCCTGCTCTCCTGCCCACCACCCACAGTTCACAGCAGAGATTCCTTCTTCAGGTCCCTGCTGGGAGGCTGACCACCAGGAAGCCTCACGTTGACCAAGCAGGCCTGAGGCAGGGAAGGTCAGAGATAAGGCTGTGACTACCAGGGAACACTGCTTGTGGGGGCTACAAGAGAAACTAGAGCTTGGGATATAGCAGGAATCCTAGTAAGTTTGCCCTTATCCCAAACATCCTATTCTGCCACCATGTGCCGCTGTGAGAGCAGAAAGGAATCAATGACTCTACAGAGGGGTGAATCCAGAACACGTGAAAATGAAACACCTTGAAGCCAGAAGAGTTTATAAAAAGTATTTCTAATCCTTGCAACACCCCGCCCCCCCTCCCCCTGAAGAAACTAGTACTGCTCCCATTATACAGATGAGGAAAATGAGGCTTACAGAGGTTTCCCAAGGTGGTGAACATACAGACCCTGGAGACAGGCCCCTGCCCTCAGTCCTGGCTGTGCCATTCATCTGCCCCTGCAAGTCACTTAATGCCTATGCCTCAGTTTCCTCATCTGCAAGCAAAAAAAAATTGTCATCGAGTCTATTCAGACTCATAGCGACCCTGTATAGAGTTTCTGGGCTGTAAGTCTTAATGGGAGTCCTGGTGTGGCACTTTAGGATAAGCATTGGGCTGCTATTCGCAAGGTTGGTGGTTCAAGCCCACCAGTCACTCCTTGGTAACCCTGTGCAGAGTCGCTATGGGTTGGAACAGACTCAAAGGCACTTTAACAACAACAAATCTTTATGGGAGCAGACAGCCTCATCTTTCTCCCTCAGAGTAGGGGCATTAATGGCACCTACTTCAGAGGGCTGCTGTGAGGAGTTAAATGAAGTTACAACCATCTTTGGCCCATAATCCACTCCAGTGAGCTATCATTGTTATTGTGATAACAGACCTTGTCCAAGGTCACCAGGCTGATGTTGAAGTCTGGGTTCCTGACTGTGGACCCCTGAAGCTCTGCCATGCCCAAGCTCCACCTCCTGACTGCACCCTCATAAGGTGAACAGGGTGGGTCTCAGGCTCTGACGCTGCCTCCCTGCACCCGGCACAGGTTCCGCATCTGGCCCTGCTGGCGTCTGGCTCACCTTGGTGCTCTCCCTAACAGTGGTCCTGGAGCTGACGTGAAGGCTGGGCACCCCCACCACTCCATCTGAAACTGACATCTCCACGATCGGTTTTCATTTCTTTTCTAAACAATTTCCAAGCCTTGTTCTTAGTCTCATTCTGTCTGTGAATTGGCTTCTTCGGTCGGTTTAATTAAAACAAACAGAACAATTTTCCCCACCTCAGTTTGTGGCTCTGTGTTCTTCATTTGTTCGGGAACAGCAACTGGGTACCTCTGCCATCCAGAAATGATGGGATGGTGCGGGTGGCAGACGGGGGATGACACAGAGGAGTGGCAGAGAAGATGGAAGACTTGCTTCTTCCTGGATGGGGATGGGGGAAGTGGGAGGAGGTGGACTCACTATCTCACTCAAATCCTAGCATCTAGGCATGGGGCATGGTCAGAGACCCTCAGGAAATCCAGGTTTCCCCAGGGCCAGGTGTAATAGCCAACCGTTGCCACAAAAATGCTGCATAACAAAACAACTCAATTCTCATTAGCATCCAACAAGTATTTATAAGCATGTTCATGGTCAGTGTTGTGGATTGAATTGTACCCGTTCCTCCAAAAACTGTGGGTTGCAATCCTAACTCTGCAGATGTAATCCCACTAGTAACAGAATTTTCTTTATGTTAAAGAGGCTGTAAGGAGCCCTGGTAGCTTAGTGGGTACCCTTTGGGCTGCTAACTGCAAGGTGAGCAGTTCAAATCCACTAACAACTCTGAGGGAGAAAATGAGGCTTTCTGCTCCCATAAAGATTTACTGCCCCAGAAACCCCATAGCAGGTCTCTGTGAGTTGGATCCACCTCAACAGCATATAGCAACAGCAGCAGCCATATTGAGGCCTTATCAGTGTAGACTGTGCTTTAAGCCTAGTCTGTAGTGGTTACGAGTCAGGCTGCTAATCTCAGGGTCAGCAGTTCCATGGGAGAAAGATGAAGCTTTCTGCTCCACTGAATAGTATACAATCTGTCTAGGTGGGGCTGATGAAAGGAGATGAGTGTAGGTCTCTTGTGATACAATAGTGAATAATTGTTATCAGGACTGATTGTGAGGGTTGGAAATGTAAAGGTAGATATTTTATAGCAAGGAGGGGAGTGCTTAACTTTGCAGTCTAGGAGCGGAGGTCCCTGGGACTATCAAGGGAGAAGAGCGGAAAAGAGAGTGGGACCCTACCCAGAGAGGCAGTGATGCCAGAGATGGAGGCAGAGACGATGACATGGAGAGAGGAAGCGGCTGGGGACTTTAGACCCAGAGAGGGAGTGGAGCTGTGTGCTGACGATCGGGAGGCAGGCTTGTAGTGTATACCCTTTGGTTGGTTGATGATGCACGGAGGGGATTGTAACCATGGCAATGAAACAATATACGATAGGATGAATGTAAAACGAATGTTCTCCCATGTAAACTATCATGTAATTCACAATAAAATATTTAAAAAAAAAAGATTTCCAGCTTTGGAAACCCTATGCAGGGTCGCTATGAGTCAGAACCGACTCCACGGCACATAACCACCACCACCACTTTTGAAATATAATAAAGCATGTTAGGTGCAGAAACAAGTATAGATCAGGGAAAGATAGATGAAGCCTCATAGAGATCACCAAGGATCCAAGGAAAGGAAGCTGAAAGAGACAACAGTTTTCCAGCAGAGTGAACAGGGAGTCTTCCCCTAGAACCCATGCTCTGAATGAGTATGTCTAGCCTCCTAAACCATGAGGAAATACCACCTGTGACATTTCTGTTACAGCAGGGTTAAACACTAAGATAGTCAGGGGGACTCTGGTTCAGTGGCTCTAGACTGACCTGACTGTACAGCTCTGGTCTTTTCCTTCTTTCTTGTCTTCTTAAGGACCTTTTGCATTCTTCCTGCATGTGTTTCTTGGTGTTCTTGATGTCATCCCACAACTCTTTATGAGTTTTTAATGCATCATATCTGTTCTTAAGACACTCTAAATGTAGATGGGATCTATTTAAGGTCTATTGTGGCTCTCATGACTTGGTTTAGTTTTCTTCAACTCTAGCCTGACCTTGCATATGAACAATTGATGGTCTGTTTTACGCTGGCCCCTGGCCTTATTTTAGCTGATGATAACGAGTTTCTCCACCATTTCTTCCTACATATGTAGTCAATTTGATTCCTGTGTATTCCATCTGGGAAAGTCCACATATATACTTGCTGTTTATGCCATTGACAAAAGTATTTGCAATGAAGAAGTCATTAGTCTTGCAAAATTCTATCATGCCATCTCCAGCATTGTTTCTGTCAACAAGGCCATGTTTTCCAGCAACTTCCTATTTGCTTCCAACTTTCACATTCCAATCACCAGTACCTTTCTTTCTTTTTTTTTAAGTTTTTATTGTGAATTGAATGAAAGTTTACAGGGCAGATTGTCAGTTTTACATTCAACAAATAAGATACTTTGTTTCATTATAATGATTATAATCCCCTCCATGTACCATCAGTTAACAGTATTTCTCTCTATTCATTTTAGCTTTTTTTTTTTTTTAACTCTCAGGCATATATAATAATTTACACCACATTCTGCAAGCCTGCCAGCTCTCAGTCTCTCTTTCTTTCCATGAATCTAGAGTCCTCAGCTGGTCCCTCTCTCCATGTCCACATCTCTGTCTCCATCTCCGGTGTCACTGCTTCTCTGGATAAGGTCTTGCATTCCGCTTGTGCTCCTCTTCCTTGATGGTCCTAGGGTCCTCTGTTTCTGCAGTGTAAGATTAACTGCTACTCAGTTTTTGTTACAAAACTTCTACCTTTACAGTTGTGACCATCGCAATTAGTCATGATAACAATTACTCACTATTGAATCATAAGAATCTTATCCCCATCTCTTTTCACCAGACACATCTAGACAAGATGAAAACTATATAGTGCGCACTCGATCTTCCCTCACACACTCGTAAACTAAACTTCTTCTTGAAACCTTGTAAGCCAGTCACTTCGTGCCTTTATCGCCCCCTCATTTTAGGTAGGCAATGTCTAAGTTGCCCATTCCTATCTATCCTGTGTACAGAGGGGATAGCATTGGTACTTGATGTGAAGACTCCTTCCCTCTTTGTTGGGATTTAGAGTTACTACCTCCATGAGTATAGGTCAAGTTTATCCTATTGTAGCAATTTACCCTCGTTTCCTTTATCAAAAATAGTTTGTTTGTTTTTTTTTTCTTCCTCTAGTTGAGTTCTGATTATCAAGCCATCAAGGCTCTGTCAAATGGGTACTATCTGCAAGTTTGGGTGGGTGTTCTTGTGCGTCTCCCCTCATTTCATATCAGCTGGATGCTTCACTCTCAGCTCTAGCCCTCTGTGGCTATGCCCTTGTCCATGGGCTCATGGACAAGGTGTCCCCAGGTCTCACCACACTTTGGACCAACCAGCCCTTCCTCTTCTCTCTCTCATCTCAAGGTCAGCGGGAGTCTATGGAAAATGGTTGAACTCAGCCCATTTCTTCATTGCTGCCTTTCCCCCTCTTCTACTCACCAATAGACCAATGTGGTTGCCAGCACGCTTACATGCCTGTTCGTGTGTTCCCTTTGAGTTTCAGTCTTAGAAAGGGTTACCAGTAACTTTCAATGCATTTTTTTTTCCTTTTTTTTTTTTTAATTGTGAACTGAGTGATAGTTTACATGGGAGAACATCAGCTTTACACCATCGTTTCATTGCTATGATTATAATCTCCTCTTTGCATCATCACTCAGCAATATTTGTTTCCATTCCCTTTGTGTGGTTTTTTTTTGGGGGGGGTAGGTGGGCGGGGTGAGGGGGATATGTACACAGAAACACCCAGGAATATATAATCATTTAAACAACTAAAGGCTACTTTCTGCAAGCCTGGCTCCTGGCCGCTAGCACTCAGTCCCTCTCTTTCCATGAGTCTAGAGTCCTCAGCTGGTCCCTCTCTCCATGTCCTCATCTCTGCCTCCATTTCTGGTTTTGCTGCTTCTCTGGATAGGGTCCTGCATTCTGCTTGTGCTCTTCTCCCTTAATGGTCCTGAGGTCCTCTGTTTCTGGACTGTTAAGATTAACTACTCCCCCATTTTTGTTACAAAACTTTCACCTTTACAGTTGTGACTGTCACAATTAGTCATGATAACAATTACTCACTATTGAATCATAAGAATCTTATCCCCATCTCTTTTCATCAGACCCATCTAGACAAGATGAAAACTATTCAGTGGGGACTCTATCTTGCCCCGCACATTCATAAACTAAACTCCCTCTTGGAAACTTGTAAGCCAGTCACTTTGTGCCTTTATTGCCCCCTTATTTTAGGTAGCCAATGTCTAAGTTGCCCATTGTTATCTACCCTGTATACAGAGAGTCAATGCATTTTTAATTGCATGTGTGATCAATTTCAGACTGAAGAAGTTGGTAGAATTTAATTTCATCATCACTGGCTTTAGTGGTTGTGTGTAAATTTGAATAATAGTGGCATTAACTGGTCTTCTATGTAGGCATTTCGATATTATCCTATCACAGAGAGCACTGTACTTCATGTTAGATCTTCAATGAATGTGACACCATTCCTCTTCAATTTGTTATTTCCAGTATAGTAAGCTACATGATTGTCAGATTCAAAATGGCCAATACCATCCCATTTCATCTCAGTAATGCCTAGGATATTGATTTTTATGTGTTTCATTTCATTTTTTATGACTTTCAGTCTTTCCAGATTTATATTTTGTACATTCCATGTTCTGATTGTTAATGGATATTTCTAGTTGATTCTTCCCGTTTTAAGTTGTGCCCCATGAGCAAATGAAGGTCTTGAAAGCTTTGCTCTATTCCTGTCATTAAAGTCAAGTTTACTTTGAGGAGACATCTCTTCACTAGTTGTATTTTGGGTGTCCTCCAACCTGAGGGGCTTATCTTCCAGTACTATATCTGACAATGTTTCAAAGCTCTTCATAATGTTTTCAGTGGCTAGCCATTTAGAGCTGATTCACCTCTCCTTCTTCCTTGTGTGTCTTAGTCTGGAAGCTCAGTTGAAATCTGTCCATCATGGGTGACCCTTCTGGTATTTAAAATGATGGTGGCATAGTTTCCAGCATCATAGCAACATACAAGCCACCACAGTACAAGTTGACAGAAGAGTGGTGGAGACAGCAACTGGCTTAGATTTTTCTGTGTCTCTCCCAGGCCTTGAAGCTATCTTGCAGAATCAAGGCC